GTAATTTTGTGTTTTCATTTCACACATGTTCATTGGATTTCGGGGTTAGGCTTTACATTATGGACATAAATTCTAAAAATAATACTAATTAACAAAATGGAACATCACATATTGATTAGTTATTGCAAAGCAATAAGCTACCATAAAATAAACAAACATTTATGTCAGAGATGTTCTTTAAATTTGGATTATGGTATTGTAACGACCCATTTTTTTTAAATAACAAAAATAGTAAAGCCAGTCGTTACCCTTTTAAAAGGATAAATAAGGTTTATCAAAAACATCAAACCATACTTACAAAATATTATCTCAATAGAAACATTAGTGGAAGAAAAACATCTCAGGTTTAAAAACATAACATTTATTTTTTAATATAATTCTTCGAGAGAATGTCTCCTGCAGTCACACCGGTCTCTTTCCTTTATTAAAACTTGACGATCCTGAAAAATGTTAAATAACAACAGGTAAGCATAACATTTAGTGAGCATACACATTACTCTACCATTATATAGATCACTTACTTACACATAGCATACATAGAACATTCCACATAAAGCATAACATAAACATAAACATTCCTAGCACATATTGTTGGTACCAACCATAATATTGTTCCCCCTTTCGGGAAAAGATTGACCATTTTACCCTTCAAGGATTTGGAATTTGGAAAAAGTGATTCAAAGTTTGAAGAAACTAGACACACTAAGATTTCCATAAAAGTAAGTCTCATGATTTTTACATGTTCGTATTGCCTTGAACGGGTTTTAGATATTGAAGGGCAGAATTGGAAAAACATGTCATTTTAGCTTTTAAGTCACTTTTGGTGTTTTATTAAGGACTTAATGGTTTAGCTTTAAGTTTAGAACTTTTAGTAGATTAAAAGGTCATATAAGAAGCTCTTAATATATGTTCATTACATTGACTTATTGACTTAATGGTTTGTCTTAATAGAGGCTTGAAAGTTGAAACTAGGACCTTTTACATAAAATCATAACTTTGTCTAGGTATGGCTCAACCCATTAAGACATAAAGTGGCAACACATATGAGTAAATTTTTAGAAGAATACAATGGATAAAATTTCTTACCTACGATGTGTGGAATTATAGATTCCATGAGAAAACTTTGTGTCAAAGCAATCCTCTTCTCTTTTACTTTTTTTTCTGCCCAACATCTCTCTGGATAGGTAGTCTCTCTCGTCCTCTCCTTAAGTATTTTCTCTACCCTTTTTCCTCCAAAAACTCCAAAATCGTGGATTTACTTATAAATTACAAAGTAGGATAGGGAGATTTTGAAAAACCCAGATCTAAATCTGTCGTTTGTCCCGTTTTGTGACATGCATATTATGTTCTCGAAGTTCAAGCTTTACCTCTCTTTCTCACTCACATAACCCTCTATCTTTCTGATTTTCTTCGCTGGAAATTGATTTACACATAGCTAGAATGAAGCTTAGAGTCTTCCTCCCCCCCCCCATGATCCATTCCTACTCCTACTCTCTCCCTCGATCTCTTGTGGCCAATGAAAAGGAATGCACACACACGAACACAATGGACTTGGGGAGATTAGGGTTAGGTTTTGTGGCTTAAATTCGTGGATTAAGTGAAGCCCAAGCAAGGAAAATCGCCCCCCCCCCCCCTTCACAAGGCCGATCCTAGCTTAAAAACCCAATAATTTTCACTTTCTACCCTTAACTTTCCCATAATGATAGTTTCTACCCCAAAAACAATTTTCTTCACAATTGACAGTTTTAAACTTTGACACTTTCTGCCCTTAAATTTAATAACTTCTATTATAATTGTTTTTAGGATTTATTTTATTTTATTTTATTTATTTATTTTACTTATTTTCTATATTTATTGTTTAACCGCTTCCAATTTATCGAATGCCTTTTATTTGTTTATTCACTGATAAAATCCTTAAAAAAACATTTATCCCTATTTACATGACTATTAATTATTTTTTTTATTAATTAATAAATTCGTTTGCTGAATACTAAAAAAAAGGACATTACAGGTATTCACTTCATACATGTAAGTTTTAGTCGGTAGAACTATATTATTTTGATAACTCTAACAAATGAAGCCTAACTATTGGAATGGACACATTCCGACCAATTTGAAATGAAATATGCATTCATTTCCGATAGGGTTTTCATTTCATATTGTCAATTTTGAACTTTATACAATATAAAATGTACAATGGTAATAGCTATAATATATATATTACAAAGAACCTACCTATACATGTAAATCTCTATTGTATTTGAATCAATGTTGCTTCGTTTTGGAAGAGTAGAAAATCGAAATGTTATTTTGGGATATGGCAGGTACCGTATTTCATATTTACTTTAAATATGGGAGACCACATAAATGAATGGATATCTATCGGATCTCAGGTCAGAAACAGCATATTTTGAATTGAAGGATCATTTTTATAAATTGCAAAGTTCTTAGTTATTTTATGTAAATTTCAAAGAAGATTTGACCAAATTTGTGAATATACTTTAAAATCCAAAAAACATAAATTCATTTACATCCGAACAAATCAAACCAAAAAACCACTAGAAAAACAATATATAAAGTTGAAAGAAAAAAATGAGTTACAAACAAAAAATTATATATTGACATATTGAAATTTAAGTATTAATATTATTTAAATATATTAATATATTTATATTATATTTGTTAGGAAGTAAAGTGGATAATAAACAAAACTATAAGCACGCAAGACACAATATTTACATGGTTCGGTCAAGATGAACTACATTCACGGGTAGGAGGGGAGTATTCTTTATTTCAGACCTTTCAAATAGAGGTTACAAGTATAATTTCACAGAGATTCGTCTAACACTCTAGAATTCAAGATACAAAATGACTTAGCAATTAGCATGCATCCCTATTTATACTTGAGGGATCAGACCTAAAATCCTAATGGGCCAAGCCCATTGGCCCATATGCCCATGAAAGGTGTCAACCAATCACAATCCGCCATGCAGCATCTTCTGGAACATTCATCAGCCTCATACATGATGGAGCGTCATGATCCATAGTGGCATATCACCATGGCATATCAACCATCATGGTGGCACATCAAGTAATAATCCTTGAGCATCTTCAACTTCAGAGCTTCCTTGAATAATCTTGAGCATCATTGGGGACTTCATAGCATACGACTCATCAAAGGATACCTTGGCATATTAAGGAACCAAGTGGCGCATCATTGCATCAAGATGACACATCAGGCATGGGGATGGCTCATCTTGATCAAGGGATTGCACATCCTCTCCAAGGTTAGCATATCTGGACATACACTCCACAATGTCGCATCCACCTCTTGAATTTCATATCAAGTCACTTCGTGGAATATCAAGTCACTCCATGGCATATCAAGTTCCAATAGTGGCGCACCTTGACTTCTAAGTGGCGCATCCAAGCATAGGATGCTCCATTCTACTTTTGGGTGCTCCATACCTCCTTTTAGAAGATTCGTTCTTTTGTCACTTGATATGTTCCTTTGTCAGGAGATCCATCCTTTTCTCAGATGATCTGTTCTTTTGTTACATGTTCCATGAACCTTAAGTGCTCTTCTGAGTTTCAAGTGCTCCATTGAATTCAAATGCTCCAAATGCTCGAGTCACATTTAACAATATTTAATATCTATGTAAATTTATTATATAGTATCTGGGTCGTGGGACCTAGGAGTAGAGGTGCACAAAACTCGGTTTTAACCTAAACCATTTTCACTAAAATTGGTTTGGATGGGATCAAATTTTTGGATATTAAAACCAGGTAAAACCTAACCCCAACTGGTTTTTATGAGATTTTTTCATAAGTTTGGATAACTAATAAAACTGGTTTCAAATTCAAGTTACATTTTAAAAAAAAAAATCGTTTCATATAAACCTCTATATATATATATATATATATATATATATATATATATATATATATATATATATATATATATATATATAAAATACAAAGTTACAAGATAATATTTAGATTCAAAATATTAATTTAATCGTATTTATCTTCCGGATAAGTTAAAAATCCAGTAACCTATTTTTCTATTTTATTTTTTGTATATTATCTTTATTTTTTTAATCCGATTACAAACCATGGATACAACCTATCCGGTTTTTTTACAGGTTAATTCAAAACCAGTATGATTTGTGCACCTCTACCGCTCTACCCAGAGTATCCCTTCCCCTAGGAGTTCCCCATTTTTTATTCGCCAGGTCAACACGAGCTTTTAAGTATCCTATCGATTAGGAGTTTCTTTTGCTATCTCTAGAAACGTTCACTCGGTTTACAATCAGGAGCGGAGCCAGGATTTTAGGATAAAGGGGGATTATATATATATATATATAGATATAATATATATATATATATATATATATATATTATATATATAATATATATAAAAAAAATATTGGAATAACATAATCAACAAATAGGAACTACATCGCTTTTTGCGAGAACCAAACTTCAAAACTTTTCAAACGACCATAAGAACCGATTCTCATATATTAATATCTTCTTTTCGTTTGCTAAAAAAAATAAAAATAACATAAAAACATTAATTATTTTCTTGCTCTGCTTTACCCTATTATTATAAGAATTAAGAAACAAATTAACTAGTCATAATACAATCATTAATTACAAATTATATTGTTTAAAAAAATATTAACCATAAATTTAAAAAAAACATAAATGTGTATTAACTAATAAGAATTAGAAATTACCTCTTCTTCAAATTGAAGTTTGTAAAAGAGTGACGTGAAATTAATTTGCATTAGTCTCTTTGTCAGTTGCCGAAAATTTGTAATTTCCGATTCGTAATTGCCGTTAAATTATAGTTAATGTATTTGTTATTGAAATACAAATTATAATTGTTTTCACCACAAAAGTAAAGAAATTGGGCTAATGGGACGCTGGGCTTAGAATTATTTTTTATTTTGGGGTTAAAATAAACAATGGGTTTATAAGTAATATATAAAAAAATGTTGGAGCCTATACTGCCTCCGCCCCTGTTTACAATTATCCTTTCTCATTTACCCATTTTCTTTTCGTTAACCTATAACAAAATCAAGAAGAGATCTTCGCTGATCATGGAGGTAATGCTGCGAATCGCCACCGACTACACACCTCCTCTGTCATTGTTTGTTACGGCAAAAGTCGGGGGAATTTCTATCACTGTCAGAGACAAACTCCGGTCCGGCAATCCACCCTTCATTATCCTACCATGCGAGCGGTATTGCCATTCATTCTTAATCTTGTTTCTATGTTTTTGTTGGTAAAATGTCTAGATGTCAAGAATACCATGGACATTTGCAATATAATGTTTGTGATACGTTTCTAGGGTTATACCCGAGGCCACCTCCATGGCCCAACTGGATTGATAATATGGTTCACACTCAGTAGCGGATCCAGAACCAAATCTAACCTGGTTCCAAAAAATACAAAAAATTATAAAATTCTGAAAATGTAATGTATTTTTGGGTTTTTGAAGTAAAAAAAAATGTCAATGAGGGTATTTAATGTAAAAGTGGGTGCCAAAGAGGGTTTTTTTTGTAAAACTTGGATTTTTTTGAAGACTATTTAGTAGTAAAAATTGTGGGGCCCACCTCCAAGTGGGGTCCATGCACCCCACTTAAAGGGGCTAGATCCGTCGGCATTACTTCCAACCATGCATGCATATTTCCATTTAGTTACTAGTACACGTTTTCCTTACCCATGATTACATGTTTTCCTTATTATTAGCTAGTAGTAGGGTTATTTAGTTATATATATGGATGTATTTGCATTACGAAGGAGATGTAGAAAAAAGTATGTTTTAGTCTATTTCATTATTTTTGTTCTTGGGGAATAGCCATCCATAATCGGCTCTCACCTATCTTCCTTTCTATTATTCTTGGGAGGCTGACCACCTCGAATCGGTCGCTATCAGTTTGTTTCTGGTTAATTGGTTATGGATCTCATTATTTCTATTGATGTTTTAAGCATGCAAATACAACCAAGACGCATGAAGTTTGATATTTTAAATAGTTAAGACTCTTAAAATTTGAATTTGTAAAATGAATGTTAGTTATGACACCATGGTTAATTCAGTCACTTAGGTATTCGGAATTTGAAATATTTTGTGAGATTACAATAATTGTTTGTAAATGAAGTAACGAGTAATAATAGTATTCAATCTGTATTAACTCAAAAGTTAATATTCAGTCTTTATTAACTCTATGAGTTTTGTTATAGGCTAAAGGTAGAAGGGAGAGACGAGATTCTTCGGTACTTTTGTTGTAAAGGATCAGTTCGCAACTTGTATGACCGTGATGACAAGTATGAAACTGAGGAGGTAAATTTCTTTTTCTTCTTCTTTTTATTTTTTTATTTTTTTTTTTCGAAAGATTTTAACATTTAAAGCACACAACCACATGAGGATCTTAGTTTGGTGAAGTTTATGTTTGTTTCAAGAATTAGTTCGTGATCTTTTACCTTTTTTTTTCTAGCTTTTTCAGTGGCTCCAGGATGCCCACGCCCGTTTTTCTAGTTCATATTATGAGGGGGCATGCACGCACTTTGATAGGCGTTTGATGCAACGCACTTTTTTGGTTGGTGATTGTTTATCACTTGCAGATATTGTTCTCTGGTCATATCTTGCAGGTAAATCTTATTTATTATCTTTGAAACTATGTTATTGAAGATTTTAAATTTTGGGAGACCAACTTTATTATCTTTAAAAATGCTAAACTTGGTGTTGTGTGCAGAGATAGGTAAGAAATGGGAAAGATTGATGGAGTCAAAAAAGTACCAAAACTTGGCTGAATGGTACAACATGTTGTCTAGACAATACGATTTGGATGAAGAGAGAGCAACTTATTTAGCAACATATTCCTTGAAAGAAGATTAGGAAGAAGGACTCATTTGTAGCAAACAAACAACGAATAAGTTTTCAACTGACCCGAAGTTGATCTCTTGGATGCCGAAATCGGAATAGTAACACTAGTAGTATCTTACTATCAATTCTTCCTAATACAACATTGCACTTTAAAAAACCTACCTAGTTATAACAATGTCATCCAAAATACAAAGCAATTTTAACTGCTATAATTGGGTAGATTTTTTGAACTACGAAGTCCTTTTAAGAAAAAGAATTGAAATGATCCGGTTTGAACTAAAATTTAAATAAAAGTATCATGAATGGCATAGAACAAAATGAAAGCAGGTTGCTATAATAAAACAAATGAATAGAATTACTATACAATTTCTTGATTTTTGCCCAGTATATAGTTAATATGGTTGCATTTATTTGCAAAATATATAACACGTTTATTACCATAACCAACTACCTTAAACAGCTCACTTATTAACACAACTTAGGGGGTGTTTCGCAAAGCTTAAAAATGAAACTTTTTGACTTTCATACCGGTATAAGCTAAAAAGGGTGTTTGGATAAAAATAGCTTATAACGGTGTCATACCGGTAATAAGTCAAAATCAATAAGTAAGAGACCCCTGCCTTATTAACTTATAAGCTATAAGCTGAAAAGTACTTAGGATTTTTCATAAGCTTAGCCAAACACATTTTTAAACCGGTCTGATCATCACATAAAAATAGGTTCAGATATACGAAAAAGCCCTCGATATTTTTCACGAATGCTTGATATGATCATATCAACACTTCCAAATCCACTTAGAACATGACACCCCTCTCACTTCAATATCTCATCATTTTCTGAAATCTCAAACATAAGCCTCGGGAGAGATATGTTCTAGGGAAGTTGATGCACCAAAATCGAGTCATTGGGATTTTTCCACTAGATCATCTTCATGTTTTGACACATACAGCCACACACACACACACACACAAAAAAAAAGGTTTTGATAAAAGTGAACATGTTATATAGGATAAAAAATGGTAATGTTTTGTCCCACCCATTTTTGATGAAACAAGGTGGGACATGGAATAGCTCAAATGATGTAAATTCCCTCATGATTGAAAATAGTCCTATAAACCTTGTCCACACTCGTGAACAATGCAACTTTAAGCATATGTGATATACAAGGGGTAAAACAAAATCAATTACAAACACCTCCCATTGCCCGATCCTTAAAAGTAAAGCTGGAAAATGATAAGCCTTCAACTTATCAAGTCCTAGCCCTTAAAATCGCTCTTGGTTCTTGCTTCAAGATTTTCAAGGCACAAAGACAAATGGCCAAGAGACACAGTATATTTAGTCAAAATTGGGGGGAACTTCTTTTTTTTTTTCAAAAGTGTAATGTCTTATTGTATGTTTTGAAAATATGATGTCTAACGAACATGCTAGGAAGTGGGCTTCATTTTTTGCAATGGATTTTAAAAGATGATAAACATCTTTGAGCATATATGACTAATTAGTTTTCATAATAGTGATTTATTGGAGAAAGATCAAAATATTTATTTCAACATGATTGGTTAATCATGCATCAACTAGTACTTCCCAATCTCTTAAATTATTTTAAAATATGTTCTTTTTCTGTTCAAAACAATATCAATTGCAAAATTCGTAGCACACATTTTTGTATGTTTGTTTGGATGGAATGAAACCACAAATGAGAATGGGGAGGCAATACAATAAAAAAATGTAGGAAATTAATCATTACTATTATACTACGAATGGAAGGAAATCAATTGGCATAGAAAAATATCCACGTAACTTAAAATGCATATAAGTTATAATTTTGTATAACGTTATCTTGTAAAACATTACATTTTATAACTATAAACTCAAGTTAATTAATAGATTTTATATTTACAAGAATAAAATATTATAAGTTTATTAAAACCCAAATAAGATTATAATAGAAAAATATTTTCTGTTTATTTTTAGAAAAATAAAGATTTTATCTGATTAAATTGAGAAATATATATAAGTATTTGTGCATATATATATATAGATATATATATATATCTATATATATATATAATATATATATATATATATAATATATATATATATATATATTAATATATATATATATAGGGCTAATTTCATAAAAACCCTCAAGTTTTCAGGGTTTTGTTGGTTTTGCCCAAAGTTGAATTTTATGTCCGTTTTTATCCTAACATTTTCCAAAAAAAATTCGGTTTTACCCTTTTACCGGTGATAACAGGTTACTATTATATTAACTTCGCAAAAAAAACCCTTAAGTTTACAATTTTTTTACGTTTTTACCCTTAAGTTTATAATTTATTTTACACTTTTATCCTATGTATTTTTTTTCATATTATACGTATTCATGCAGAAAAAACATATTTATATACGAAAAAATTTTAATTAAATATTGTATTTATATATTTTTAATGTTATTTTTTGTGTGTTGTGTGTATATATGATATATATATAGATATATATATATAATATATATATATATTATATGTGTGTGTTGTGTGTGTATGTGTGTAGTTTTTTTCAAAAAACTACATTTTTTTTTTCAGAAAAGCTGCATTTTTTTCAAAAACAAAAAAAAAACTACGATTTTTATAAAAAAAGTGCAATTTTTTTCAAAACTGTATTTTTTTAACAAAAAAATCAACGTTTTAGGTGCATATATGCATATTTTTTCAAATGTATATATGCATATTTCTTATACTATAATATTCGTAAGTAAATTATAAAAAATTTCATTTTTATTAATCAATCTATAAACATAATACAAGTATTTTATTCGATATAAAATAAAATATAAAAAAAATACAAAGATTCACATTGTTATCATTTCTTCATATCAAGATTTCCATATTTTCTTCAATTTATCACTTTTCACCTCTTCAATATTTTCCAAAAATTCTTCAAAATCTACAGGAAAATAAAAAAAAATTGATTAATGCAAGAACACGCACATGTAAATTTGATGTAAGATTCACATGTGATTATATAATGTGATATTCACATGTGATTGTATCTTTTAAGATTTAAATGTGAAATTCATAAGAAAATTTTAAAAAATAATTAACGAAGAACACTTACACAAAATGCATGTGTGCATATAGACGTAATTCATATGTGATTCACTTGTGATTTACATATGAATCACATGTAATTCACTTGTGATTTACATGTGAATCACATGTAATTGATATGTGATTCACTTGTGATTTACATGTGAATTACATGTGATTAATATGTGAATTACATGTGAATCACATATAATACATATGTGATTTACATGTGAATCACATGTAATTCATATGTGAATTGCATGTGAATCAAATCTAATTCATATATAAATTACATGTGATTCATATGTGAATAACATGTGAATCACATGTGATTTATATGTGAAAAACATGTGAATCACATCTAATTCATATATGATTTACATGTGATTCATATGTGAATAACATGTGATTTACATGTGATTTACATGTATATCACATGTAATTCATATGTGAATAACATGTGAATCACATGTGATTCATATGTGATTCATATGTGATTTACATGTGAATCACATGTAATTTACTTAATAAGGTTCGAAAAAAAATCAAGAAGAGAAGAAAAAAAGTTACACAAGGGATTTTCTAGAAGGTTGTCATTGTTGGTTCCAACATCAATCATGATAAGAAGAACCTATTACAATTAAAAAAATGAAAAAGATATATGTTTGCAAGTGAGAAATTTTAGAAATATATATATATATATATATATATATATATATATATATATATATATATTGAGATGGATAATGTGCAAACATTACTCTCTGAGGATTTATTCCAACTGCAGCAACATATAAATCCAACTTCCCAATTGCAATTCCAATACCCTGAACTCCTAGATCACCAAGACCCATTATTCTGCTTCCATCTGTAACAACAATCATATCAACCTACAAAATTTGCAAAAAGGTTTTGAAATTTGAACAAAACACTAATGTATCTATATCGAATAATTTAAAAAAAAATCATATCATTTATTTAAAAGTAGAGTACCTATTCAGCAGGCCAACTATAAGAACCAAGAAATTCTACCATTAATTGTTAAAAAAACTGCAATAACAAGTGAGAGCATAAAAGAACCATAAATTCTACCATTAATAAGAGCCAAGAAACTGGCATGTAAGGGTAAAATATAAACAATGTAGAAATTCTAAAGTTTGTAAGCAAGAACAGGTATCTGGAAGCGCATCTGAAAACTTAGGCAATAAAAGTTTAACTAACTTAAGAAGTTTACCTCATACAATTCATGAAAAAGAGCCAGAAGAACGCAAACCAAACAATAAAAATATCAACAAACTGTTGTTTCCTGTTATTCCCAATGTTCCTCCTCATGCTACAGTCAACAATATAAAATCCTTGCACTCTCAAAATCTTGATGTTTCCAATAATGTTGTTCCTAGTATTATCAAAGTGGAGCATCCAGCATGGGACATTTCCAAAAATCACGTGAATTGTAATGATTTGGTATTCCCTATGATTGTTAACATAGGCTTTTCATTGGACTATTCTCTACCCTCAGGTTTTAATCCTTCATAAACACACGTCCTGTTGAAGAAGAAAATGTTGTTTCAGGGAGTAATGTGAATCATGATATTATTACTCCAATACAATCAACCGAGAATGAGAATCTTAATTTATCACTTGTCACTGTGGCCTCTCTAGATGAAGTTCATCAAAGTGGAACTAGTTTTGAAGAAGATGATAAAACTAAGGTCAAAAGATTAATAGATTGGCAATTTGGTGAGAGATATTGTCGATTCTAGGGTTTCCGCTATGGTTTTTTGTGTAATCACCGCCTGTTGAACAGCGTATTCGACTCATTCAACGGCATAATCACCGGAAAATGGTTTGACTTTCTCCAATACGCCGAAATCAGCCACGGATGAAGACGAATCGGGTGATATGTTCGATTTGTTTTCCGATAATTCCTCCATATTTCGCCGGAGATCCGAGTAACAGTATACAATGATAATCAGGAGTTGCAATGACAAAAAGCTAAAGGATCTGTTGAATCGCAAACGAGATAATTCGAGGAGGGATTAGACTTACCAGTTGACGATAACAGAAACAAAATAGCGATAATGATGAAAGCATTGCGAG